AAACCAAACCCCCTGCCAATGGGTTGATTCTGACTCATATCCACGTTATAGGATAGAGTGGAAATGCCCCATAGGGTTTCCAAGGCTGCAAATTTTTACATGAGCAACCTGCCTCTATCTTTCTCCTATGCAGTGGCTGGTGGGTTTGAACCACCCACCTTTTGTTTAGCAGCCAAATGCCTTACCACTGCTTCATCAGAGCTCCTTCTGACTTCAAAAGTTCCTTCCAGTTCTTCCAGACCCAGCGCCATGTTCCCCTCCCTGAGCCTTCCCAGTTCATGCTGCTTGGATCACAGCTGGGAACCCTGTTCTCGCAGTTGGGCAGCATGGTCGGAGTCACCCCAAGCCTGTGACTGGGCAGCTCAGCACCCTTGGGCAAAGCAGTCCAACACCCTGAGCCTGTTGACTGAGCTGCATAATGGGGACACACCGCCTGTGTCATGGTGTCTCGAGCCCTAAACAAGACGGCATGTGGCTACCTCATACACACTGAACTAGCTGCCATGCAGTCAAGTCTAACTCATGGCAACTCCAGGTGTGTCAGTGCAGAGCTGACCTCCAAAGGGTTTTCAATGGCTGAATTTTTTGGGGGGGGGACAAGTAGATTGCCAGCCCCTTCTTCTGAGGCACCTTTGGGTGGGCTCACATTTCCAAGTGTTGGTTAGCAGCCAGATACATTAATCATGTGTACCACCCAGAGACTTCATATACAGAATAAAGCCAAGAACCCACGGCCCGAGACTATTCCAGGTCATAGCAAGCTGACAGGGCACAGCAGAACTGCCTCAGTGTTTCTCTCTTTTTTATTTTTATTGTTCTTTGGTTGCAGATTTACCAAGCAGATTTTTTCACATTCAACAGTTCATGCATGTTAGATTTCACAGCCCCGGTTAAACTCCTGAGCCATAAAAAATCTCCCCTCCCCTCTCCTCCTCGTTATGACCCCCTCCCCGTGTCCTTCTTATCTATGCATCCCTGCTGCCCAGCTTTCCTGCTATGTGACTCCTGCCCCGCTGGTGTCTCATGGCTGATTGATGTAAGGGGTGCATCTCCATAGGGTAAGTGGGTGCACTGCCCTGGGGTAGATGCTCTGCATGTACGTCTTCCTATTATTGGGCTGAGAGCCAATCCATGGAGTGAGTCCATTTCCAGGGCTGAAGGATAACCCAGGGCCGTAGTCTCAGGTGTCCCACCAGTGTCTACCCATAGGGTTTCAAAGGCTGTAATCTTTATGGAGCAGACGACTGCCTCATCCCTCTTCCAGACCAGTGGGTATATGGATAGCAAGCCAGCACTCTGACCACTGCACTACCAGGGCTCCTTCATACAGAATCCAAACACCAAACTCACTGCCATTGAGTCAATTATGATTCATAGTGACCCCACTGGATTCCCAAGGCTGTAAACCTTTCTGGAAGCAGACTGTCTCATCTTTAGTCCACAAAGCAGCTGATGGGTTCAAAATGCCAATCTTCTGGTTAGCAGCTGAATGCCACTACACCACCAGAGCTCCTTTCACACAGAACAGGCACTCAATAAAATTAGCTAACACATACTTTGGGTGACCACCGCTCTCTTATTTCTATAACTATAACTACATGAGCTCTAACTTTAAGGAGCCCTAGTTGTTGAGTGGTTACAGTGTTCGGCTGCTAACCAAAAGGTCAATGGTTCAAACTTAGCAGCTGCTCTGCAGGAGAAAGGTGAGGCAGTCTGCTTCCGTAAATATTTACAGCCTTGGAAACTCTATGGGACAGTTCTACTCTATCCTATAGGATCCTGTCAATCAAAATCTACTTGATGGCAGTGGGTTTGGTTTTTGTTGGCTCTAACTTTATCCTGTGGGCTAATGAATGGTCCACTGTGAATATTTTCTTCGTGGCCAGTTCACTTCAGTGTAAACTTGCTGATAAAATTATTTTCAGAGTGACAACTGCTTGAGATTAGACTTCCTAGCAGCAACAGTAGGGCGAAGCACAGGACATGGGCCCCTGTGTGATAGCCTAGCAAGAGCCTAGGCATTGTCATCAAAAGGAAGAGGACTTGGACAAATGCAAAGTTTGAGGTCTGGAAGAGGCCACCAGAGTTCACTGCAGCTCAGGGTCCTCACCTGTAAAAGCCATGTGTGACCAGCATCCAAGAGGGTGGTGGGGGTGAGGTGAGAAGACCTATGTTACATACACGACAGAGTGCCTAGCACAGGATGATGAGTTCTCAGCACAGAGCAACAATCGATGATTTCCAGGACACGTGGCTTAACTCCTGATCCCTCTGAAGCTCTTACAGTCCCTCACACAAACCAGGCCTTCTGGATCACACACCCCACTGTTTACTGTCAATAGATTTTCAACTTTCCTTTTATCTTATGTAAAATTTCAGTATTTATAAATCCTGGTATGGTTTTAATAAAGCACAAAGAAGATTTTTAAATATACTTATGGCTAATTTTGTAATAAAGTTATTCTACTTTCTAAATCCAATTTCATCATTACTTTAAATTAAAAACAAAAGATGGTGGATGAAGCCCTGAAACCAGTGCCCTGAGATCATCTTTAAAACTTAAACCAAAAATATCCCCTGTGTCTTCTTAAAACAAAACAACAATTTAGCTTAACTAGTAAAAAATGTCTGCCCTGAGCATTATGCTCTTTTTAAAAGTATCTCTCTGAGATCATCTCTCTGAGATCAAAGAGACAATAGCAATTCAAAAGATTAGGTGGGAACCTTAGAAAGGAGTGAGTTTATGTTAACAGGTGAGGAGCAACTCAGGAAAGGAAGGCAAGGACGGTTGTACAACTCAAAGAAAGCCGTCAATTTTCCTGAATCGCATGTTGAGAAACTGCTGAATGGGGCTATGTTCTGCTGTGGATATTCTCAAACAGACAAACAAAACAATCCCACTGCCATCGAGTCAATTCCAATGCACAGCAACCCTAGAGGACAGAGCAGAACTGCCCGCAGGGTTTCCAAGGCTGTCAATCTTTACGGAAACAGACTACCTCATCTTTCTCCCATGGAACGGCTGGTGGGTTCAAACTGCTGGCCTTCTGGTTAGCAGCCAAATGCTTTAACCATAGTGTCACCAGAGTTCCTCTATCTATTCTCAACAACAATAAATAAATGACATTTAAAAAATAATACTAATAACTCACAACACCCTCACTGAACTTTTACTCCAACCCGTTCTTTGACAATATAAACACACAACAGCAGCAACGAGCAGATTCACAGACGCCTTCGTGCCCTCAGCAAGAGCTCAAACAACATGGAGAATCGAGTCCCTTGCTCTGCGAGGCAGTGACTAAAAACATCACCACAGTTGCTGAAAAAGCCCAGGAGAGCTCACCTTTCCTGCCCTCGAAAAATAGCAGGAGCAATCCATCTGATGGCAGAAAGAAGAAAACGGGACCTTTCTGTTTTTCAGCTGTGATGCTAAGAGTCCTACCTACCTTGATGTTGCCCCCACACTTTAGTTTTCTACAAGTTATCTCATGCTTTGTCCTGAAATTTCAGAAAACACCAAGCTACTCGGTTTCTATGGATTGCCCTTTGACAAAAATAGGATCTGGGGGCCACACTGCGAAGGCTTGCCACACAGGGCAGGGAGGGGAACCATCCTGTTAGTCTCAGTGGTACCCACTGGCTACTGAAGGATCACCCTACTTTAGGACCCTCGCCAATGGACTCCTTCACTGCACGGCTGACCAGAAGTGGATTATCCACTAAAAACTGGCCAACACCTTTAACGGATGACAGCAAACTACAGAAAAGGAGGCCTTAAGCGCCAACATGGACTCTGCAATAAAGGAGCCATGGAGGAAAAACAGGTTTTGCTGATTGACACTCTGTAAGGCCCACCCACAGTCACAAAATTACCCCTGAGTTTAGCTATACCTGAGGTGAAAGAAAAAGTAACAAAGGGAAACTTTCTTACCTCCTGACCATTTGGCTTTCCTGTTGTAATCCTGTAAATTGTTCTTGTATAATGTAGATGCATGAAAAGAATGCATGGCATTTAAGGTGAACACCACCAGACAAGAAACACACAATTCTCAAATATTTCCTTCCCTACCCTGTGACTGACATTTGAAAATTTCCTCATTAGTCACTTTGTATCATAAGAAATACTAATACAGGCAATAATAATATCTATGTTTCTCTGACTACCTTGGACCAAGTTCTTCGTATGATCTTTAATCCATTCAACAAAGAGAAAGATATTATTATCCCAATTCACCATTCAGAAACCTGAAACCCTAAAGGATCGGGCAATTAACACAAGTTATAAAGAAAGTAATGACTATAAAACTCAAGTTCTTTCCAGTCAATCAAACGCACGCCATGTGGCTATCACTAGCATGCTGACATCCTAAGCACCACGCCAAAATCATTGTCAGGTCAGCAGAAAACCTCCAAAGATCATTAGATTTCTCCCCACATGACACTTAACAGCTTCTATAATTCTCTCTAGCTGAACGTGAATGAGGTGAAAGAAGGTGTGAGTACTGGGACCCTGCCCAGGATTCACCAGTAATTCTAGATTCAGTTCTGTAGAACGGACTTTGAACATCCAGGCACTGAAGTTAGTACTGAGCGCCTAATGCAAAGGACAGGTCAAAGCACCAGGTGGAGAGGGGCCTGGCTCCTGAACCCAAACATTGCCGCCATCCTCAAAGCCAGCCTCCCGTTATCACTCAGACAACATAAAACCTGTGTGTTCTCCCACTACATTCAAATGTGTGAGACACTTCCATCAGAAATGAGAGCATCTTAAGAAAAAATTAAATCGATTTGCATTATTATTTCTTTAAAATAATATTATAAAATCTGTAAATTAAATTGGAAAATGGTACAAAAATATGATGAGGCATTTTGTAGCTTCTACTGGCTCTTTCAACTGGTGTGGGATATATATTTATTGATTTTGTTTGTTTTTCATTTGGGTTTTGTGGAATCAAATGTCGTAGGTGGGGAAAAAGATAAAGGAAACTTACCCTTACCTGTCTGAACCACTCGTATAACCTTCCCCCAAGGTCCAGATGGAAACGTGTAAAGAGAGCAGGAATAGAAGCCAACGTCAGCTTCAGAGGCATTATAAAAGGAAATGGTCATGTCATTGGGAGCCACGGTTGAATTTAAGAAGTAGACTCTGTCAGCATAGGGCTCTCTTATGATGGCACCATAAGTAGGGTTGAAAATTGCAATGGACACTTTCTTCGTTGCATTGATCTTGAACCACTCCACTTGGGTTAAGGTGTCCCTCGACGGATACATACATTCTAGAGTCATATTCTCAGCAAATTTAATCGTTGTGTCCCAGAACACCTCCTCACCCAGAGCTGGAAGAGATGTCACAATGCTTAATCAGACTTCAGGAATCAAACACCAGATAAACATCTTAAGCTTTCTAAGACCTAGAAAGTCAACTGAGAGCATCAAAAAAGGCAAACAGGTTCTGCCGTAGTCCACAAAGCTTTGCACCGCTATCGGCACTTGTAAATTTTAGTTTTTCTGAACAAGTGAGAAATTACCTAAGCCAACTAAAGAGCATCATAAATTCTGAACACGTTACACTATGAGACCAGAAAAAGACTAACTGTTTAAAATGAAGACATGAGGTGATTTTTTACCTTTGTATACATGAAGAATAGCAAAAACGGAAGCTAGATAATCCATCTCTGGAAACCTTTTGGGAGGCTGGTCTATTAACCAGATAACATTTATAATGCTACACGAAGCACTGTTTCCTTCCGCTCAGATCCTATCAGCAGCGTCGGTCTTTGTCTGAAGAGTGAGCACAGGAAAAAGGTGTCAGCTTGAAAGGCAGGGTTGCTCTCTACGATGATGGGCAGACCCGAATGACTGCTCTCTTGGGTCAGTAGCTTATTTCCAAGGGTTATTTCCTACAAAGATTCACATATTTGACTCACTTGTACCGAGGGCACACTCCAGGCAATGAGGATACAGAAATCAATTAAAAAATGAAACTCCTGCCATCATGGTTCTTACATTTTTGCAGAAGGAGACAGAAACTAAAATAAGAAGTAAAATGTATAGTATGTCAGAGGTGGTAAATCCCTGGAGGAGGACATCATGCTTGGTAAAGTAGAAAGTGAGCAGAAGCTATGCATTGCCACAGTGGCTGCGACAACAGGCTCAAACTGCGACGACGCTGAGGATGGTGCAGGCAGTGTTTTGTTCTGCTGTGCACAGGTTTGCGGTGAGTTGGAAGTGACTCCAAGGTATCTAACAACAACAAAGATGGTGCATGCTACGAGGAAAACTACAGCAGGCACATGGGCATAGGGAATGGGGTACAGGGGTAGTGATCCTTTTAGACAGAAGGACTGGGAAGTCCTCACCGAGAAGGTGAGATTAGAGACCTCAAGGGCAGAGAGGATGAATCTTGTGGCTCTGGAGTGTGCGCGTGTGTGACTCTAAGGTGGGGGAAGGGTTTGAGGCTAGGGGCCCCACCCAGAGCAGAGAGCCCACAAGGCAAGGCCTCCCTTTCACCCCCACATCCTGGCTGACCTCAGGTGTTTGCTTTGGTGGTGATGAACAGACCACTGGAGGCCTGCTAGATACTATTTAAAACATGGTAACTCTGGTGTATACAAGTCCACCTTCAGTGACCGATTAGGGTTTTTCTACCCCTTTATTCTGAAATAATGAGAGACTCACAGGAAGTTGCAGAGACAGTTCAGAGAAGTCTCGTATAAGCTTCCCCCAGTTCCGCCAGTGGTCATACCTTGCATCATTCAGTACCATATCCAAACGTGGCTGGTTTCTCCGGTCTATCACTTCTCCCTTCCCCCTCTTGTAAGATAAAAATCTGGATTCTTATAAACTCGTTAGGAACATATTAACATGACAGCATAAGAGTGCACTTGTTCCTCTACAACAAGAGGGACTGTATGGGTGCATCTGGCCCACGAGCAGAGGGGCAGAGTGAAAGGTGGGTAAGACTAAGAAAAACCAGAGCGGGAATTACTAAAGACAGTGTTGACACCCCATAATTCCATCCAGCAGCTTACCAGTAGGTGTCAGCTACTCTCCCTCCAAACCCGGCTGAGTGGTCAGTGAGGCGCGGGGGTGAGATCCCCAGGTGGATGGGAGAGCAGTGAACAAACCCAGAGACGCTGTGGGAGACTTTCAAAGGCCATTGTCAGCAGAGCAGTAGAGCAGCGGGGCAGGCCGACGACTGCGGGAGGTTGGGCTGCACAGACAGACCAGGTGAGCGTGTGGTTACGCTTGTAGACTTTCTGACTCTAAGAGCAAGTGAAAACTGTTGGTGGTAGACACCTGAATGAGAGGCTCTGATTTAAATTCTGAGAAAGGGAACTGAAAAGTACTCATTGCCCTTCCTCATTCCGAAGAGAAGCCTGACTTTGTTCGGGAATTCACTCCTTCCCATACACAGATCGGAACTGAGGACCAATCTAAGCCCATGACGATCATTATAGATTTCAGAGGAGATGAGAAGCTATGTCTTAGTTCTCCAGTGTTGCCACAACAGAAATACTACAAGGGGATGGCTCTAACAAGCAGAAATTTATTTTCTAGTTGCGGAGCCTAGAAGCTTGAATTCGGGGTGGCGGCTCCAAGGGGAGCCTTTCTGTCTGCTGGCTCGGAAGGAGCCTTTGTCTCTTTGAATATCTGCTCCTGGCCCATCCTCATGTAACTTGGCACCTCTCTTTCCCCATTCTCTGCTTGCGAGCTTGTTTGTTCTAATCTGCTCTTTTTGTGTTTTGTTAAGAGACTGACTCAAGACACACCTTTCACTAATTCTGCCCCATGAACAAAACAACAACAACCCGTTCCCAGATGGGACTACAACCACAGGCATAAAGGCTAGGAACCCAACACATGTCTTGTAGGGGGGCGGCGCACAGTTCAATCCATAACACTGTGTGCAGCACAAAGTGACACCATCAGAGTAAAGGAAACTCTTTATAATCTATGCCAGAAAGAAAAGGTTCTCTCTCTCTGTCTCTCTCTAATTAATTGTATGTGAACAATAAAGAAGGTAGCTCCAGTTACTGCAGGGAGCCATTCTGCAGGGAACTGGCCTGAAACACACAGGACTCAAGGCAATGGCAGAGAGGGATGGAGAAAAAGCTCAGATGTCTGATGGCACCATTGAGCAGCTGGGTCTACTAACACTGGAATCTGAGCTTGTTGTACGAGGGCATAAATTTACTGGTTCTATAAGCCAATCAGAAAACCAGTTTCAGTTACCTGTATTCACACAGACCCTAGCTGGTTTAATCAGTCTGGCTGCTGTATGCAAACTACATTGGACAGGAACAAGAACGGATAACCAACTATCCAGATATTATTATCATAATCTGAGTAAAGTATGTCATTGGCTTGAGCTAGCACGAGTCCCACAGAGATGAAGAGCAAGGGGCTGACTGCAAGGGTATTATCTACAATTATACAGCGATATACCAATAATGGAACCCTTAACCCCATGATTCCAAGTAAAGGTCTGGTCAGAACAACAGAGCCTGTGCCCAGTGATTCAACAGAGTAATTCATAAGAGAAACTACCAAAAAGGGGGATGGAAGAGCTAACAAGCCAAATAAGGTGGGGTAGTGGCTCAGAGAAGGAAACAGAGAAAAATGGACCTGCTCGTAGGGTAGAAAGCCAACGACTGCCCAAGGGTCGCTAAAGCTGAATATGTAAAGAATCTTACAACTCAACAACAAATAATAACGCAATTTTAAAATGGTGAAGAGATTTGGGTAGACATTTCTCCAATGAGACGTCCAAATGCAGAGATGCACAACATCACTGGCTAGTAGGCAAGTGCAAAGGTTGTCCTGGGGGGACTAGCTCTAGTACCGCAGTAGCAAGAGGCTTCCCCAATCAGGTATGGGGGCTGTGGGGAAGCAGGATGCTCCTGAAGGCTTTGTCTAGCTGTGTAATTCCTTAACATCACATGCTCATCCCTAATGCAAATTTTCAAGGAGGTCTTTACTATGTCGTATACCAGGTAACCAAAACTTAAATGGAAATGGAACAATGGCCTAAATATAAGAGCTAAAACTCTGAGGTTTTAAAACCTTTATGTTATAAAACATGGAGATAAACCTTTAGGACCTTAGTTTGGCAGTGGATTCTTAGATATGTCACTAAAAGTACTATCTATCCATCTATACACGTACTGCTGCTGTTGTTTTTTCATTTGGCTCCATCGAGTTGGTAGATATATAGAGATACAGACATACATGTAGCCAGAACTGGATGGTGCCCGGCTATCATTACTGAACTTCTTGACCAAAGGTTCTATAGAGGAATCCCGATCGAAAGGAGGAAAACACAGAACAGAATGTCAAATTCTCATGGAATCCAGACTTTCTGGGGCCACTAAATCTTAATGAACCCATAAAACTAGTGCCCTAATTGTTAAACCTTTTAAACCAAAAAAATTGTCCCCTGAAGTCTTCTTCTTAAAACCAAACAAGAGTTGAGCTTCGCTAGCAAAGAATGTTGATCTTGAGCCTTGTGTTCTTTCAAGATCTGCCTCCATGGGATCAAACTGACAATGGCAACTTGGAGATTAGACAGGTAACTTGGGGGGCAGGGAGTTTATGTTAATGGGGGAGGAACAGCTCAGAAAGTGAGGGTGAGAATGGCTGTACAACTCGAAGAATGTCATCAATGTCCATGAATTGTAAATGTAGACAAAGATTGAACAGCTGTTTTGCTGTGCATATTCTCAACAATACCATAAAAGAATTTGTACACACACATACATATACACACACATACACACACACATGTACATATACACCACTGCTGTCAAGTCAGTTGCAACTCATAGCAACTGCATGTGACAGAGTAGAACTGCCTCATAGGGTTTCCAAGATTGTCATCTTTATGAAAGCAGTTTGCCACATCTTCCTTCTGTGGAGGAGCTGGTGGGTTTCAAACCACTGGCCTTCCAGTTAGCAGCTCAGCATTTTACCATTGCACCACCAAAGCTCCTTTATACATATCACATACACACACACATGCACACACATTTATACATACATACACACATGAATTGCACTTCATCAAAATTAAAAACTTCTCTACATAAAAGGACTTTATCAACACCTAAATATCCATCAGCAGATGAATAGATAAACAAATTGTGGTATAGCCATATAATGAAATATTATTCAGCCATGAAGAGGAATGAGGAACAGAGTTCTGATACATGCTACAATGTGTGTGCACCTTAAAGCCATTACTGCAAGTGAAAAAAGTCAGACAAAAACGTCCCATAGTACATGATTCGCTTCATATGCAATATCCTCAATAAGTAAACCCAGAGAAACAGGAAGTAGATTTGTGGTTGTCAGTGCTGGGGGATGGGAGTCCATGCTTACGGGTGGAGGGATTTCTTCCAGGGAGATGACCATGTTTGGGGTTAGACAAAGATGCTGTTGTACAACACTGTCAATGACTAAATGCCACTGAATCATACACTTTAAAATGGTTACTTTTATGTTATGTGAACTTCCCCTCAATAAAAAACAGATTCCTGCCAGTGAACAGCAAGCAAGGGACCACTTCACCCCAGGTCTTTCCGATGACAGAGGCCACCACAGTGGCTGATGATCATGTCTTTATCGATCCTGCTTGACACTCAACCACCCTGGTGGGCAGGTGAGGACTGAGC